CATAAACAATGCCCCGTGAAGTTTTTCTTTAAAAAAGCTATTCTGGAAACGGTTCAATAATTCGTTAGGTTTTATAGTCGTGGTCGTTGAGTATAAGTTTAGCTCGAGCCCTCCTGTTCTCTAGGGGAAAGAAACAAATTTACTTATGCACACATATTTTAAAATCGAAAATGAAATGCAAATCGGACGTTGTCGTAAAAACTGAAAAATAATTTTAACGACACTTTTTACGCTTAAAATAATAGAATTTAAATACAATTATTTGTTTCTAAGAAGTAATAAAACTTTAGTAATAAATTGTACATTATTCACATCGAAAAGTTTGTATTTAAATATCAATATCCGATATTATTTTCGATTTGCCTTGTTCTTATTTTGTCCGTGTACTATGTGTAATATTATTATGTATTACAATAATAACAGGTCATACATTTATACGAAACAATCAAGTCACATCCTGACGAGAATATCTATATACTTCAACAATAAAACATTTAAAAATCCAACATCACATTTATTTGTGTTACTTCAATAGTAAAAACCGTTGTTAAAACGTGACATTTTTCAAATCCAAAAAGTTTTTTGAAAAGTTATTGCGTGTCAGTTGTGGTGATTTACTGACCGTAAAGCAGTTTGTGGGACGATAGCCTTCGCCAAATGGCCATCCCCAGCTGGACCGTGGAAAACTACCGTGTTGTATAATACATTAATAAGCGCACGCAAGTGTAAACTCTGGTATTCGCAAAAAGCGCGTGTTAATTTAATCGAATAAATTAAGTAGTATATTTTGGTATACGCATGACACGGTACAGAATTCCCGAATAACGATCAAACGAATTTCACAGCTGTGACTCTATAATTAGAAAAAACAATACGCAACAAAATTGATCTGATTAAATGCGAAAACAAAGAAGAACGTCACTAAATAGTGTTATTTCAAGCACACGACAACAGTAGATTGTCAAGAACGATGAAAATAATTAAGTGGCCGGCAACACAGCAAATCAAGCAGACTCAATTTTGTATTTTAAGATTATTAGTATGTTAGAGCGAATGCACATTATGATAAACCTTAAAATTAAGAATGTTAGGTATCCATAATACCTCAGAGACCCATATTGATGTTTTGATTTTAAATTCAGTGTGTAAAATATTACAGTTTTATAATTCAGAAAAAAAAATTGAAGTATTAATGAAATTCTACGCGATGTTCTAGATAACAATAAAAGTAGGTACTTATATAGGTACCCATAAATCTGACGACAAGTGAATTCACTCGAATAGGTGTCAAAGCTAACAATACAAAGTTGGTTCGACTGTACTCGCGTTCATCGTGGTCTTCGTGAGTGAATAATTTCACATGGGCGCGTAACGTACTTGCGCGTTTTTAATTTACATTGATCAAGTTCATACGCTCCGTTTCGGTTCTCAAATGATTGATTTACTGTTTTCATTTAATTTTTGGCCATTGTCGCACATCGCACTGTTAATATGATCACTACATTTTTATTTCCTCGAAATGTTATCGAAATGGTTTGTTTGACAAAAAGCGTTGACTGTTTATGTATCGTACACTTATATACCGGTAATTGAAAATCATCATGACGTCACTGTCGAACGTCAATTAATAAAAGCTAAATACGCATTCCGAGTACACGAAATATGATAGGTCGTATGGTTACATATTATGTCACATAAAATCACCGAAACATATCGTCAATCGTCCGTTGCAAAACAATTATACGCTTAAATGATATCAGACCGCAAGAGACGCTCGGGCGGTATAGACTATTTCATTATAGGCTTAAAATTAGACACCGAAACCTTGCCACCGACGAAGCCGGTGGCTATTGATCTCGAAATGGACCGTGGGGGGGTGGCGATCAATAACATATACACTAACCCTATATCGCACCACAACGAGATCGTTTTTACAAACAGCACGTGGGAAACCGGATACCCGGTTTTACGAGCATTCGGCTTTCCCGGACTTTTGCAGATTGTATTTACCTCACAACCCGGCCATTTCAGCGTTTACATCCGGAAGTCGCAACTCCGTGTACATATTGTACACATTTCATTATACCACCGTGGTCTGTGTTCAATGTGAACATTTAATACGTTTATATTACGCGACACGTGTGCAAACATTTACACCGAAATAATTTATTTTATTCGTATGAATTCCGCGAACGTATTAAACCGTCTTTGTACTTCATCCTTGTAACAGCGTGTATGGAGTCGGCACCTAAAAATTCTGATTTTGTACGTGGAGAACAAATCGCGATACTAATAACGGTTTGGCTCCGGGGCATCGTGGCTTATTAGTATGATATACAACTATGGAGAATTTGAAAGTTTTAAGTCATTAATCACGTAAAAGCTGTATGATATTAAACTGTTGGGACAGATTTAAAAGTAAACTGAAAATCCAAGATAAAAGTTTACGAAGAACATAGTTTATGCCATAATACTTGTTTTTAAAGAAAAATTAAATTCTCTGTAATAAAGCCTTAGGGCTGCCTTATAGCTTATAAAAAGCGAGCAATTCCCTGCGTTAGTGGATGGTATAACTGTATGCAAAATTCATATAAATTCGTGTTGAAATATTCAAACTACTAAGATTTATAATGGGTTATTAAAGACGCTGTCGACCCGGAATACTGATCAAATCAAATTAAATAGTAAACGTGTGTAGGCGCATAATGTGAAACACGTCTCGAAACCGTTCAGACACACGATAGACTTGCTCGGCAGGTAAATAAGTTTATAATGTAAACACGTTTTTGGGCAAATATAGGTACCTATTATATATACGCTCATCCGCGACGAGATTGGTTTCTGCGCGTCATAAATATTAATTTTGCAACCGAAGTACCCGCTATTGTAGTGCCGTACAATATTTATAGTAATTTTGCCGATTATCGTTTAGAGGGCACACACAAACCGCGATCGGTGTGTTTGCCGGACGAAAATTCAAATGTGTGGGCGCAATAACAAAATATCATATCATTTATTACATTCGATCGACAAAAAAAACACATAAACCCATCAAGGATAATGTTTTACGAGGTCACGCTGAAATCCTGCGCACACGTATAGGTGCGTACCCGGCTGCATTATAGGAAATAGGCAAAAATACATGGAAAACGAGTTCACGGTTTATAATAAAAGCCTCGTGAGGGGTCTTTTTTTGTCGTCATCACACTCCCTGAAAATTAAATGTACATCCATTATATTATTATATACCCACGGCGTTATGACTTACTGTAACCGGGTAATAACATTACAACAGCCGAATGAAGCATATACAAATGGTTCGATTTAAATACCCTTTTTACGGCTTTTCACACTCATAATAGTCCAAAACAAAAACATGTACACACTGTAAACGTAATTATAATTCAAACGAATTGCAGGTATACATTTTAATTTTCCAATTGGTTCCATGAAATGTACCAGCGAATTTACTCAACGTGCGATTAATGTAGTAATCCGCTTGGCATTTCGAGTAAATAACATTCATTTCTGAATGAACAAAACATCCTCGAGAAGCAAGCAGGAGGAGGTGGATGATCATAATGACCCTTTTAACCGCCCTCAAAGACAACTGCGCGTCGCAATAAAAATAATAATAATATTTCGAGTAGCATTTTTTTAACCGAGTAAATATAACTGCAGAATAAGTAATCGATGAATTAGACTTCATGGTAGTGGCATTGTAGTATCATCGTAAAAAGTGAGTGAGATTGTGGGCAGTGTGCAGAATGTGTACTCAGGTCTGACAGTTTCACAACACATCATCTGACATTTTGAGCCACTGGATCAAACAAACTTTTGGACTTCCGTAAATACAATTCGATTATTTCAAAACACATATCTCTGCAAAAAGTCACTGCCTTTGTGCAACATGAAAGCAAAAAAAAATGTTCGAATTTCAGACTTATAATTTTACCACTAATCGATTCGTAATTCGTGTCAGTTTTAGAATTTTTACTGACAAATTTCTCCGAGAAAAATCGATTTGTCGAATTTTCATTTACGAATGCCTGCAGGGATCCGGCGGCGCCCGGATGCACAACACCAATCGAAGATTTCGGAATTCTATTTTAACCATCAATTAAACCGCAATAGTAATTCGCTCCGCACTGCGGGTGCCGTCGGCTCGTCTTCGAAGCCGATCCAAAAAAATGCAGGCGACCCGGGAAAACCAGGGTTTCGATATTTTATGGGTGCCGGAGAAAACATACGCTCTCGAGCGCATAACTTATTACATCGCACAAGATTTGCTACGAACAAATTATGTAATAATAATACGATGTGCGCATAGGTGCGAGTATAACTTCTATAGCGGATTTTCGGCCGGAGATCGCCGGGGACGGAGCGGGTGAGCGGGCGGCGGCCACACCTCGACACATATATCGACACACGAGGCAGGTAATTGATCAAACCGTCTCGTCTGCGGGCGCGGCCGCCGTCGGAAAAAAAAACACCCCCTCGCCCGCCGCCTGATATGCCGGGGCGCACACACGCCAACGCGCGCCGAGAAACGGAAGGGGGCAAAAAAACTACCCCTTACGCGCGCCGGATATGTATTAGGCGACAGAAGCGCGGCGGTGTTCCGCGTCCGCGGCGGAGGGTTGGTCCGGGGGGGAGATGGGTGGTTAGGGGGGGGCGGTATAAATGATATTTCGGCGGCCGTCCGCGTCAGACGCTCGCAACGCACACGCACACGTTCGCTCGCCAAACGGCGTTGTGCGTGTGCGTGCGGGTCGTACGCTACTACGCTATAATACCATATTATATTTTACGGTGGGTCGACGTGGCGCTTTACGCTGCAGTCGCCGGTCGCGCCGTACGACCTAGCAAACGGGGGCGCGCGCGCGCGTATAGCGTTGTATAATACACAATACGCCGTTGCGACGGAAGACGACGACCGCCGTGAGTAGGTACAGCTATTTACGATTTTGCGCGCCGCGCGCCGGTGTGCGTGTACCGGGATCCCCGACGGTGCGTGCGCAAATCGATCGCCGTACGAATACGTTAGTTTGTGTGCGTGTGTGTGTGTGTGTGTGTGTGCGTTTGAGCGTGGACGGGTGCTCGGGGAAGGGATTTGGGAGCGCGCAAACGCCGCCCGGCGGCACAGCGACAGCGTCATCACCGGCAGCACCGGCAGTCGGCGGATCGGCGCGTTCCGTGTGTCTGGCCTAGTACACATCGTTGGCTGTGTAATTGTTGTCGTCGTACTTGGGTACGTACGTGTGTTTGTTCGCATACCACGGTACAGGCGCCGCTCGCGCGTAACGTACTGAAGCACGCCAATACAGCCGCGCTGCGCCGTACACGTCACGCTACACGACAGTGGTATACACCCGATCCTGCCCGAGCCCCGCTGACTCCGACATCGCCGTTTCCATATTAATATTATAATAACAATATTACCATTATATTGTTACGAGTACGGCCGAAGACCACGCCGCCGGGGCGTCGCCGACGACGAACGCCGTGCGCCAGACGCCGCCGTCATGACGCCCGTCATCAATTCGACGACGTTGGTACGTATGAGCAATAGCACGATGTAACGTTACGACGGTAACGGCTCCGAGTTTTTCCGGTGCGTGATGGGTGGTTGGGTAACGCCTGGTTGGTAATAATTTAGTAATAAGTATTGACCATTGTATAGTATATTCATTACGACAGGTATATTGAAAAATACCACGGCATAAAATGCCTCTATCGGATTCCGGATGGGTGGGCGGATGGAATGTCACACATTCCTCCTAAACGTTCAAGTTTCCAACCCCACTGATCGTCGTTATTATCATTACTTCCGGAAAATGTATCATAACTGTTACCGTGTTTACACACTCAAATTATATTTGCGGTTTGCGAAGGCGAGAGGAATTCGCACGGTTGTATTTTGTCTTACCACCCAAGTCGGTTTACGGCAATATTATTATTATCACGTTATTCCAAACTAGAGGTCACCGACCAACCGTCACCCCCTCCGCCGCCGACCCCGCCACCGCCATCGGATCTCGTGACAACCTATATAGGGGATGAAAATCGTGACCTATATATTATACTACATAATAAAAACACTATTTATTTACTATTCATTACATAATATTATTATTGTACAACGACGTTTTGATGGCTTGCATAATTGTATATACCCTACCCTTCGCGGTCCGCTTTAGTAGTTATATGTGTTCGGCCTGGCAAACAGAAATGTGTCCGATCATCGTCTGGTCAGACGGTTCCTCGCCTTGACGAGATAATAATTTGTTATTTTTCCGTTTGACCTACGAAGGCGGTCTTCTCCGACGAATCGAACTACCTACGGGTTTTCCGATTTTCGTCGGTCAGCTGGGAGGGGCACACTATCCAAAATAAGGGTTTTCGCGCGCGACCCCATCGCCGACGTCACTTCGTCTATCCTCGACGAATGGTTATACCGCTCCATCGATCCCAACGACGATATTATTATTATTACGTAATGAATGGCCTACGAGACATTGCAGCGACCGTTCAAACCTCATAATTTATTGTCTAATGTCCTGATTCCGTTAAAACTGTCAACAGTTACTCGTCACTTTAAGATTCATATGTTTTTTTTCTCGTTATACGGTACTACCAAGCAGTCTCCGACGGAGAATAAGGGCAGTCTCCCTACATATCTAGTGGCTTTTTAAGAATGTACTTATTTATTTATAGTTAATATTTCCGTGACTGAAATGTTGATGATTCTAAATTAATCCTAACGAAATTTTATAATATGAATAATATTGTACATACTAACTTTGGTAATTACTAATAATAAGTTTAATGGTTACATTTTAATAAATTATTTTAAGATCGTAGAATACTCGTAACTTGCCTCTAAATTAAAATATCAAAAAAGAATACAGGAGTCCCAAAATAATATTCTTACCTTCCAATTTCAGTATTACAGGTCAATTCATTTGACTATTAAAAATTATGGAATAAAATGGATAATTTACTATGTTAAATGCGAAGAAAACACATGCAGGGCAACGTCCTCTTAAAACACACTGGTAAAAACGAAAATATTTATTTTATAATGACCAATTTTCAAAACTTTAATATGCAAAGGCTGAGATGATTACCTTTAGTTTTCACACCATATCTGCAAATGGGTCTAGGGTCGCCACCGACCCTGTATCGGGTGTTCAACGAGCATTGTACGTGATTCCGGTGGCCACGTCAGTCCATATTGTTGCACCAGCTGAAAAGCTCGATAAAGTTAAATTATGATGATTTGGCCGGGAGCGTCGACTTATGACACCCCCCCCCCCCCCGGTGTGTACTTATAATAACCAGCTGACACGGCGGTCCGATGACTTGTATACACGATACGTTAAACTATCGTTTCGACGACACACGCCACATTGAAAAACAGTAATAATAATAATAATATAACCAATAATCCATAATTTTTGTGGCTTCTAATAAAAATAACAAAAATAAATAAATAATATGAGTCAGTACTGTATCAACTGTAGACTGCATATGTAATATATAATATGGTATGTAATACCGTAATGTATATATACATAATCGACATAGTTGAAAATAATTTCCTTAGGTTTCTTTCACGAAATGCCGTGTATAAAGAATTTCACATTCAGGGTACACAGAGATGGAAGGATCAACTAAACTAAAAGTATTATTTAACAAAAATAAATTAAAATTCTATTCAAATAATTATTGAACAACGCAATCGAGTGACCGAAATTATTTGAACGCATTACCTTTAAACTCTACATAGTATATAATATGTGAGATCACGATAATATTTACTTATAATAGACATTGTCTGTTGAAGAGATTTCTAAGTAATTTCCAGTGTCAATTAGTAACTATGGGTATCTACATTTATCTTTATGTCACAATTTTTTTTACTTTTATTTAAACGTTACGTTAAGTAAACCTTAAAATATATTTGAATACACATTGTGTAGTATGTTTAATATGTTTCCTCAAATACTAAGCTGTACTTAGATTTTCGTTTGTATTCAAAGCGTCAAAAACTCGCAGTGTTTATTTAAGGGCTTAGACAAATTGATTTACAATTTACATGAAACACTAATAAATGCCACTATTCAGTAGATTGAAAAGGTTTACGTGTAGTCAATGTAAATCAAGTATAACAACATCAAGTGAAGGCTTAATACTTGTACAAAATAGGTCAGATTTAATGGATGATAATAAAAGTTTAAAATGTTATTTGCTTGATTCAGCTGTATTTAAAAGAAAAACCACAACAAATTAAAATCAATACTTCAATAATATTATATTATTTTATAACCTTTTTTAAAATTTGATTTCTGCAATGAATCAAAAATCTTTTATTTTCAAAATTAGGTGGGTACTATAGGTATGAATTTTCGCTATCGAATTATATTAACTATTATCTATTAGCTAAAAAGTATAAACTAAAAATTACCAATTAATAGTCAACGCTTAAAAATCAAAATGTTACAAATTTTTTACTGCTACCCAAGTAGTTTAAGGTCAAATATAATGCCTTATATATTATATTATATACACAATAACAAGTAACTTAATGTGGTCGCTAAACGAAAATACATGTTCCAACTCAATTGGCTTTTGCAAATAGGATTATCCACTCGTCGAATGAATAGAATTCAACCCCAAGTGTACCGCCCCGACCGAGTGATCCATTGAACGTACTTTTTTTCTCGGTTGATTTTATTTATATTTAATTTGTACACATATACATAGATTCATACATCCAAATATTCCAAACATATTATTATAATTGTCATATAATTTAAGTTGTGTACAATGTACAATGTACATACTACCATTACTATACATATATTTATATATATATATAAATAATATATATTATATATGTTATGAACTTATAGGTATGAGTGGCTTAAGTTTAAAGTATAGTTATTATACTATATTTTAGCAAAATGATATTTTTTAATATCACTTGATTTTTAGACTTTCAAATGACAATTCAATTATTTTTAATCATTACGAATCAGATTTTTTTTTATCGGTTGATTATTGACAAATATTTAAATTTATATTATTATAAACATAAAATGTTGTAGAGAATGGATTATTGATTCAACATGTTTATTATTTATTGATACCAGCCTTCATAAAATTATTCATCTTCAAAATATTAAATTATATAAGTATTACCTTATTTTAGTATTTTGCAAAATGCATTCTATATAGGTAAGTTGATTTTTGTAAGTTTATATTATATCACAACCATTGATTGAAGAACATAAAAATAATAACAATGCTCAGATCAAATGAATTTTTCCCATTAAATGTAACACTAGATCCTGTTCCTGTATAATTGTATAATATACCATAAAGCAACGCCCACAACTACTAAAACTGCTTTTCTGAGAAAACCCAAAATGAAACCACCACACTCCTGAGATAAATTATCGTTATAGTATTTCAGATGATTAGTTTAACAACGTAAACATTTCGACCACTAAATCACATGTTTATGCGAGTAACTAAAGCCAATTATTATGAAACCCACCATTTAGATATAATTCAACTACTATTATAAATGTGCTTATCGTGTTCTATATATAATGTACAAACTATAATCAACGTTTAAAAAAATTAACGATTTATAAGTACGCAATGTCATGAAACTTTCGAATATTTCAAATACATTGTACACTGATGTACTAATCATATAAAAACATTTAAATTGCCTTTTATTTTTGTAGACGAATCATGTACACCCATTATATAGATGTATATATTGTACATAAAAAAAAGCTTTAAATGCTTTTAAAAAAGCTTATTTGCTAATTGTTTTCGATACCATTACACCCCGTACTGTAACGATGACGACATAAATAGCTATAAAACCACGTCCATGTAATTAATTTCGTCATTTGACATGAATGGGTGTACCTACCTATATTTATCAGATTGAACGCTGCCAAAATACGTATAAGCAAATAAATTATATTCACCAGCTTTGTATGCAAATATGAATAATGAATAAAACACTCTTGGTGTTGCTAATATGACCCGAAACTTTTATCTAAGCGCCGAAAACTTTCGTTTTCCATATATCCATTGTTAGTCGTACTTAATAAATATAACGTCAGGCGGGTATGTGTAATGAAATTTCTATCTTGCGATTTTATCGGCGGTGCGTGTGTTAGGTGTATAAGTGCCTAAATATGTATATTATATAATATTATATAGGTATTTGTGCATAAAATGTTATTCGATTGTTAAATCGTGAAAGAGACGGTGGATATGGGTATATATAATATATAATTGTGGGGAAACTACAAAGTGTATACAAACGACGCCCAACGGCGCGGCGGCGGCGGCATTGTAATAATATAATTTATAATTCTGAGGGAAATACATTATCGTATAATAATATTATTATATGCAACATAAATGCGTTCGCGATACCATCCGATCCGGTATCGTTGAATGACGGCAATACGATTAGAACAGGTGTTATTTTTAACCTTTTTTTTTTTTTCTTTTAAACGTC